TTCATTCATAAATTCATTCATTCATTCATTCTTTCTTTCTTTCTTTCTCCCTTTCTTTTTTTCCTTCTTTCGTTCTTTCTCTTTTTCCTTCCTTACTTTTTTAATAGTTCGTAAAAATTAAAAGTTCAGAAATAAAGTCTTAGGAAAACAGAAAATTATACATATTTTGTAAAATAAAAAAAAATAAAACATTCATTAAATTTGATAGCGGTAGAGATGAATACTTGGCAGCCATAATATCTTTGTCTAAATTTCACTTTCAGACAAGATAGGCGTCTAAGTGGCTTAATAATACAACATTCAATACTTCCTACGTAATTGATTATTAGAATAAAGAACACTCAAAGACGTCAGAAAACATCTGTTGCTCTGAATGGAGTCACGTTGTGTACCTCCATCACTATTGGAGTGTTAGTTTTTCTTCAGAAAGAAGATTGATGGGAAAAAACTTTGTAAAAAGCAGCTGATTTGCGTTACACAAGCTTCGTTTTTGATTTATGATGTCAGAAAAGGGCTGCCCGTCATGTGATAATAGCTGCCTTTTTAATGGCTTGTAGAATCTTGGAGCTTGTTTTGATCTCTTGTTTTCTGGTTTCATGTCGTAGAAATAGTCAAATACAATAGTTTGAGGACTTATTTTGACATGTTTTGACTTAACATCCTCTAGTTGCTCCTCAGTCAACCGCTTGTTTGCCCCCCAGTCAACTCCAAAAAAGTCACGTGATCGATGGTAAGCAATTGCTTGGTATCACCCATCTGAATCAAACTCATGAATCTCAATTTTATGCACTGCGAGCTAAAATAACGGACATACTTATGCATAAGTTTAGGAGAATTTTGCATTTGATCTAAAGATATACGTACCTGTAGTCGTTTTTGTGTAGCACTGTTAGCATCAGCCTTGACCCGACAAGCCAATAGGAGCTGAGCAGTTGATGAAGCAACCTGATTGGCTCCTGCGATGAGTCTCTCTTCGCTGGCGTTTCCTTGTACAGCGGCATTTGCTGCGTCGCAGAGAGTCTGCGTGGCTGCTGCGACCGTGCGGGCCTGGAAGAAAGGAAAGTGTGAAACGTCTATAGAACAAGCAAAACTATTGGAAGAAAACTACATGTTACAAAATCTGGAAAAAATTTATAGAAAAAGCGATATTATTGGCCGGGCGTTTTAAAACTTCCAAAGAAGAATCAATATAATTGGCTGAGTCATTGAAACGGACTTTTAAAAACGTTTTAGTTTTAGTAGTAGTGCGTGTAGAGCAGAATACATATAAGAACTCTTTACGGGCACTCAAGGAGATATCTTAAAACCTTTATAGAAACAGGAATATTATTGGTTGTGGGCATGTAACATTAAACATCTTTAGAAGAAGGTATTTCATTGGACATACCGCAGATACAAGACCGAATGACCATTGGTTATCTTCCCTGGCATCTGAAGAGGCAGAGAAAACCTAACAGAAAATAACAAATGAATAAACATAAGTGGCTTGGGGGGGGGGGGGGGGGGGAGTAAAGGGGACTTGTGCGAGGTCACCCGTTCAACTCCATAAGGGCATAGGTTGCTATCAATAGACATCACTTCCGGTAATAGCTCTTTGTTAATGGCTTGTAGAATTTTGGAGGTTGTTTTGA